AAAAATAGTACATTCTGAAAATATAGCATATAGTAGTACATTCTAAAAATATGGTTAATCTGGTATATTAAAAATTGCTTGTACATTTTTAAATGTTGGATTGTATAAAGATTTAAGCAATAAATATTTAAGCAACTCTTGCAATCAGGATTTTCCTGATATATATATATATATATATATATATATATATATATCCTACAAAGGATAAAAGGGTATTTAATTCATCTCCCTCCCCCCAACCAGTATGCCAAAATTTAAATGTGGGTCACTTATATATTGTTAAATGGGTATATGCATTTTATAAGGGCTGATTTATTTTTGTTTTGGTTAATAATTTTACTTTAAAATGTTAGTTAAACCTTGCCTATTAGGCAGTTTAAATTGGTGATAATGTACCTATATTCAGAATCAGCTCATGTGTGTGTGTGTGTGTGTGTGTGTGTGTGTGTGTATAAAGTTTATTTTTACCATGTGAGACAGCTCATAAACAAGAGAGAGAGAGAGAGAGAGAGAGAGAGAGAGAGAGAGAAAGAAATCCTTGACAAGGTTACATAACACAGTGAGCCTCTTCCCCTGGCTCTCCCTTCACAGTTGTCAGGATCGTTGGCTTGTGTGGGCTGTTTCTGGCATGTTTTCAGGTCAACTCAGGTTCTGAGCCCTTGGTCAGTCACATGATTTCCAACATTGTAGTTCAATATGCTATATCTTGTGACAGCAAGACTGAGCCATCATATTGTACATCTTTTTAAGCCTTTGGTTTTGTCATTTCACTTGATATAAACCTGGAGGTTGTCAAGGATGGTGCTTATTCATGTTTATCTCTATACTATGTTGAAAATGGCAAGCCATTAGTTGGCTTTCGGTTGAATTTCTTCAATGTCGTCCTTTAACTTGACTGAATGTCTGTTAGTGTGATCCTTTCATTCTACTTTCAGTTGCTCTCTTGTTTAAAGATTCATGCATAAAAAAACCCTAAAAAACAAACAAACAAAAACAAACAAACAAAAAAACAAGATCTAATTCTAAAATGTTCATTTCCCTAGACCTTTAGTGTTGACAAACCAGGTGTTTCCATGAACATTGTAATACTTGATCCTCACAGCAGCGCCATGATGGTAGCAGGATCATACCCATTTAACGTAGAAGCACACTAAGGGTCACAGAGGTTGCATGCCACATCCATGATGCTTAGTGTTCCTCCCACAGTGACCTAAATGCAGAGCTATTTATGCTGACCCACAATGTGTCTTCTGATCAAATTAAATAATTAAAAAAAAATTCAAAACAGACTGTCCACTTTCATCTGATATTAAAAATAATTTGTTCCCTAATCTTTGTCTCATAAAATGTGGTAGGGCTATTTTTTCTTTTTTAGCATTGGTAACCTAAGACTATTGTGTAAAACTTGAGTGTGAGGGTCTAGCAGATGGCTTGGAGGTTGAGGTGGCTAGAATCCACAGTACTGACTATCTAGTTTGAGTCCTGGATCCCAGGGCTTGAAAATCACACTGGGTACTATTTGTTCATGTGTTCCCAAAGTCCTGAGATTAGAATGAAGGAGAAGGATTGCAGAGTGGCCATCCTCGCTGGGGAATGCTTTATCACTCGCCCTTTCTGTGTCTGTCTCTGGTGAGCACACATGCCCTGTAGCAAATATTAAACACACACAGACGTACAATCTCAAAACTTGAAGAGTGAGACAAATGTCACTTTGGTTATACTTCAGTACATGCTTGTTTAGATAAATACTTCTTTCATGTATGCTTGCTGGAGAGAGGCAGAGAGAGATAGAGGGAAGAAAACTGAGAACGGACCCCTTCATGGGGATGGTCACTCTACAATATCTTCTCTATTCCTCTCTGATTTGGGGATTTGGGGCACACATGCACATACACTTGGCATGTTTTTCAGACCACTTAATACAAGACTCAACGAGTGCAGTCAGCCATGTGGCATCCAGCCACCTTAACCTCCATACCATCAGCAGGCCCATCAGTCTTACTTAAGTTTTGTTTCTCTGGCATTTATTTTATCCTATAGAAAAATAGTGTCATGAGAATGAGCATTTATGATATTTTTGAAGATATGAATTGTTATAGAATTATGTGTGTATTAATATGCTTGTGTGTGTTTATTAAATATAAAATACGTTGTATATCTATATAAATGCATACACATAAACATACATTATTCTTTACAGAGATGGAGAAAAATTTGTTTTAGTTAAATAAACTTTTAGTGTTATAAATTTGGATGTCTATTTGCAAAATTATGTGGAAACAAAGCTTTAATATATAGTTGAGAGAATCACTCCTCAAACTTTATGTAAACCAGCAATATCAAATATTTAGCTTGAAAGAAAGGTGTATGAGTGCATCTACCATACTCACCAATAAATTGCTAAAAAGCTTGACTTGAAGTGACTAAAGACATGTTATTTGCTTTTATAGAGTCATTGTCCCAAGTTTCTTCAGTTCAGTTCCACCATGTTTATGTAGCTACCTATACTTAATACCTGCTGCAGCTAAGCCAGTCGTTCTCTCAATCTCCTCTTTCCTTCCTTCTCTCTCTTTTTTTCCTATCATTTCAGCACTTATTTCAGACATAAAATTTCCCCATACTATGTTTCATAGTTTTTTCTTATTATTAAGTGAAATTTCATAAAGGCAGGTGAATCTCAGCTAATGGAAAACAAAGATTGTGTGAAATTGATATTTACGGGGAATGTTTACCATTAAACTAATATTTCTGTATTTTCCAGTGACTGGCCATCTCCATTAACAACCTAGGACATAATGTCCATGGGACTATTTGTAATTCCTCCCTACCTTCCTTTAGAGACATGCAATCGAGGAGCTTTTCACAGAAATTTTTAACAATTACCACTGAATGGCAGACAAATTAATAATGAGATTGCCCTGCCTAAACTATCTCCTGCTTCTGGAATCTCTTAAAGTTTACAAACCCTTCATCCATTTATTACTTTCCATATTCAGTTCAATTCCTTCCTTGGTTTCTTCTGTGCTTGGCAATAAGATGTCTCGACTATGCAGACAGATGCTCTTCTCAGGAACGCAAGCTAACAACAAAGACTGAAATAAGTTGGATGCCTTCATGCATGAAATTCATTGTTGAAATTCTTAAAAGTTTATTTATTTATTGAGAAAGAGAAGTGAAAGTTATCCTTGACAGGATCTCATCGCATTATATTTCTCCCATGCCCACCTCCCAGCTAGCCAGGATCACAGGCACACCTGAGGAGGCCAACCCTAGGCTTTCTTTGCCACCTGCACCAGTGTGGTTAGACTTAGTATTTAAAAAAAATTAATTAATTAATATATGCATTTATTTACTTTTTAGATTTTTGCTATAGGGTGGGTTCGCTCACCAGAGAGACAGAGAGAGAGGGAGGGAAAGTGAGAAATCACTTCCTGGGGGGATGGCCACTCCACATTACCTTCTTCTCCTTTCTCCTCTCTGGATTTTGGGCATGTGTGTACACCCACTCGGCATTTTTCAAGTAGCTGACTTCCAGAATTTGAACTGTGGTGTAGGCCATGTGGGATCCAGCGTCTTAACCATCACTCTACCTGCTGGCCCTAGATCTAATTTATAATGTCTCCCTTTTGTACTATAATTTGAGACATGTCATCACAGAGCAAATTCTAGAAGTTAGTTTATTATTTTGTTCAATAATTGTGTTTCTTATAGTTGATCAGTAAATAACAGAAAATAAAATAAATAAAAGCAAACTTCTTGTAAATGTTTTATCCAAGGATAAGAAACTATGTCACTTAATGGAATAAAATCAAAGCATCCACAATCATTTAAAAATTTTACTTTCTGTTATAGCCATTGCTAGAAAAGAACTATTAGATAACTCTTTCCAAATACTCTGCCTGACTATAGAATAGAATTAGAAATTCTTTAAGAAATCTCTCTTTCGTTGAATGTGTGTTTGTCTGTCTTTATAGCTATGTATGTATATATAGATACATACAGATTTGCATATGTATGTGTCAAGTACTTTTGTTTTTATTTCCATATATAAATTTTGGACTTTTTTAGGTATAAAAAGACAGTGTAAATCTTTCTCAATAATATTTAACATAGCATTAATAACACTATTCTAATTAATTATATGGGAATTGGGGGACACTTTTAAAATTTGTTATGAGATTGTACTGTTTTTCTCTTCGTTTTTTTTTTTTTTTTTTGGTCTTCATAAATAGGTGATTTTTCTGAACTATAACTCGGTCAAATAAGCCCTAATTTTAAAACTATTTCAAGAATGAATTTTTATGGAGTCAGTTCCCTGGGGTTTTGTTGAAACTGTGATCTGACTGTAGTACTCTGAATAAAGTTGTTTTATTACTGAGGCCTGGTCTGATATAGTTGAGGTCCTGAGATTGCATCCACCACAACTGTACAATAACAGTGATTCTTGGGACCAACAGTTAGAGTAATGGCTATGTCGCTGGACTCCCATGTAGTGGACCGTGGTTCAAGTCCCGGACCCAGTGACTTAAACTCACACCGGGCACGTGTGTGTGTGTGCCCAAGATCCGGAGAGGGGAATGGAGGAGAAGGAATTGCAGCATGGCTATCCCCCCTGGAGAGTGATTTCTTGCTTTGTGTCTCTCTGTCTCTGTCTGGCGAGCACACTTACCCTATAGCAAAAAACTCTCCCCCCACCCCCAAAAAAAAGAACAGTGATCTAGAATCATTCTCTGGATCTGAGAAGATATCATGGCTGGCTGAAATCAACCTGGACATAAAGTCATTTGGATAATGGTGAAAGTGGCCCTAAAAATATTGTGTAATAATAGGAGGATAAAAGGTATACTTTTCTAAATTAAAAATACCTGAACTTTCAATTTAGCAAATTATTTGATATAGTAAATAACAGCACTTTGTGTTACCTATTAATTTCTGCTAATTGTGTTTAAAGATAACAACTATGTCCTAAATGTTGATTCTATTTTCTTCTTCCTTTGAAGGTAACCCATTAACCAAGGATAAATCAAGTGATCCTCAAGGCTGATGACTTTGACTGTACACATAGAAACTTAACTCCTGAGGTGATCTTGAAAGATTTTTATACCACTCGGAAAGGGTTGCTTCAGATCCATTTCCAAGGGATTTCATGGTTTGTAACCAACCTCCTCTTGAAATCAAGACTTAAAATGTTAGACATGAACTTCTGCATCATGGAGATTTCTTCAGAATTGAACTGTGTCCAACTTGTAAAATTGTTAAAAGAATTTGAAATTGCTGTCTGCAGAGTTTGCGAAGAATTGGTGTTTTCAGGGTGATGCCACAGATGGTCACCTTTTGGATGCTTGGGTCCAGATGTGACTGCTTTTCCCGTTTCTGAAAGTTCCTGAATGCCCTGGCCTTCTGTCATGGATGTGTTCCTGGGTTCTGTGTTCAATGGCTAGTGAGACTGCACACGGCTTTAATGACATTTCCTTTGTGAACTTCTCTGGCATGGCATAGACTGAGATAATTTTATTTGTATCCTATTCTTGGAACTCTGAAAGCCTACACGTTTTAACATCTTAAAGTTGCTTTTGTTAAAGGAATGGAAATATATATCCATTGATAATAATTATTGTTGACAAGTAATAGTTATCTGAGTACATCCATCATTTAAGAATGTATAGACAAGCTGACATATTTTCCCAAGGCTAACATACTACTGCAGCTGTCAATTAAATAGGTAGCAGTTAGTACTGGATTACCATTTTCATTATATAATACTTTGTACCTCTAGATCACTCTCTATTTCAGTTTTCTTCTCTTTCTTTCTTTCTTTCTTTTTTCTTTTTATTTTTGTAAATTAGCTTTTCCTTTCATTTAAAATTTTATTTTTATTTTTACTTTTCCTTCCACAGACATCAGCAGTGAGCAGTCAAGTTCTTAGGTAGCCTTCAGTTTGGAAAAATTGCCAGGAATGCATGTGCGTTTCTGATTTCTTGGCGTGAACGTTATTCACCTAGATTTCTTCTAACACTTTTTTTTTTCTAAAAATTGTTCTTTCTCAGTTTAAAAGACTGTCTCTTGCTCGATCTCAATGGCTGTTTGAATGCTTATATATTTGTTTGTTCAGTCTGTTGATAGAAAAAAAATTGTTCATTTTCCTTGGTCTCAAGTTTATAAATATTTGCTTATAGTTGTCTCATTCATGCAATTTCTTAGGCCAGTATTTTGTCCATATTTTCATAGCCATTTTAACATTTGTGGTTTTCAGTTCTACAGAAATGTCTTATGAATATTTAAAGGCCTTAAACATGTATGTATCTTTTTTTCTAAGTTATTACAGAATGTATAATTTTATACAACATTTATTTTGTTTTATTTCTGATGTGAAGGGAGAGAAGAATGGAAATTGCATAGTCATTCTGTAATATTATCTTGTAAACCTATAGTTTGAAGGAATGCAAAGGGAAGGGCTTATGTGTGTTGCTTGATTTAGACTAATCAGGAGATGCTTCAGAAATTTTCCTATTGTAAGTTCCATCATGTTAGAGAAGGCGTAGAAATACTTTGAATTTTAAAAATTCACTGACATGGCCAATCACGCACATGTTGGTTTCTATGACAGAGACTTACACACCTTGGAGAGCTTTGGTCTGTTTGTACCAACACTCAAAGACCAATACATGCCCCAGACTTTTTTGGGAATATTAAAAGTGTAAAGTTTGTTAAAAAATTAAAGTAAAAGAACACTTGTGACTGTCCCCCAAGGACATGGAATGGAATTACTTCCTACTTTTCATTTTAATTATGCATAAAAATAATTATATGGCTTTTAGTGGATTTTGCAAGGGTTCAAAATATATGGAATCATAAAGAAAGGAATAACAGCTATGCTGGAGTTTCTACATCAACTATAATAATTTATTTGAAGCAAAATGGAAAGCTATATTGTTTTAGAAATTATGACTTTGTCCTAGGTTTGTTTGAAATTATAGATCATGTTTCTCATTTTTTAAAGTATATCCTTTAAAAATAACACTGGAAATTCTGTATTATATACAAGTGTAATACATGCATATCAATAGAACAAAATGGAATTTCAATTATACTAACTAGATTATGCCCAGTAGATTAATGTTGTGACTATTCAGAAAAGGTGAATAAAATTGGGATATAAAATGGACTCTCTTTTGTAAGTTACATTTGGAGAATGTCTTTTTTGTGTGTTTTATTTTGAAAGCATTTTAATAATGATCCAGGAAAACCTCTGAATTCTGGGGAAGCTGGAATTAAAATCTTCAATCCTTTAAAATAATGATCCATGGGAAATATTGCCATTTACACAAGGTTCTAATATTTGACGAACTCTTTTGCTAGGAAACAATTGAAATAGCTATATCTACACTTTACTGCTGGCCTTATCTTGACTGAGTACCACTGACAAATTTCCCTGCAGTATGCAAAATTAGCTTTATTATGAAAATTGTTAAAGATAATACACTACTTATCTTTTTGAAATATATGTGAAAATATACCACTCTACAGCAGAATCACAAATATGACTATTTAAAACTTTTAAACATATTTTTATTTTGAAAGAGTTCAACATTCACAAGAATTTAGGAAAAAGTGCATACAGAGTTTCTGTGTACCTTTTTCTCATCTTCCTCCAGTAATAACATCTTACATATTCTTTTTTTTTTTTTTAAATTTGGAGAGGTTTTTGCTACAGGGCACGTGCACTTGCCAGAGAGATAGAGAGAGACAGAGATACAGAAAGTGAGAAATCATCCCCCAAGGGGGATGGCCATGCCACAATCCCTTCTCCTCTATTCTCTTCTCGGGATCTTGGGCACACATGCACATGCACCCGGCATGAGTTTAAGCCACTGGGTCTGGGACTCAAACTGCGGTGGATTACATGGGAGTTCAGCGACATAGCCATGCTAACTGCTGGTCCCAATATTCTTTTTAATTAAGTTTTAATCTATCAATTTTAGTATGTTGGAACATGATAGATTGGAAGATGAGAATATGGGCCAATGAATGACTGATTTGTGATTATTCTTTTGAAGTCCTCTATTTTTGGAGTAACATTCTATGGCTCCATTTTATTTTTTTTATACTGTCTTGTTGCCTTAACATGGTGGAAACTTCCAGTTTTAACACCATACAATAACATATATCATTTTAAACTTTGTAGTGGTTTTAATAAAAGGAAAACATCTGGGAATATCTGTCTATGGTTGAAATAAAAAGGAATTTCAAATATGTTTTTGTTTTTCTTTTTGGAGAGGTTTTTGCTATAGAATATGTGCACTCGCCAGAAAGACAGAGACAGAGAAACAGAAGCAATAAATCACCCTCCGGGGAGATCGTCACACCACAATCCCTTCTCCTTCTTTCTCCTCTCGGGATCTTGGGCACACACGTACACACGCCCATCATGAGTTTAAGCCACCAGGTCCACGACTTTAACTGAGGTCAGCTACATGGAAGTCCAGCGATGCAGCCATTACACCATCTGCTGGTCCCTATCAAGCCTGTTCTTTATTTCCCTCAGCAAATCTTGTGCTACCCCACAAGGCTACCCAATTAGATTGTGACTTTTTTTTTTTTTTTGAGAGAAGATACATGTGCTTGCCAGAGAGACGGAGACAGAGAGAAAAAGGAAGTGAGAAATCATCCCCCAAAGGAGATGGCTATGCCACAATCCCTTCCCCTCTTGGGATTTTGGGAACACACACACACACACACACACACACACACACACATACACAATGCCCGATGTGAGTTTCAAGCCTCTGGGTCCAGGACGTGAACCACAGTAGCCAGGGGGGGAGTTCAACACTTTAACTACTACGCCACCTTCTGGCCTTGGATTCTGACTTTTAATGGTACACAGTAGCTAAAAGCACAGTCATTTATGAAGCAATGAAATGGGACTTGGTTTTTGAAAGTTTCGATTATTTTCTCTATTCACATATGATGCAACTATCTGAAAGCAATATATGCAAAGAAATTAACAGCATTTTTAAACAATCCTGTCTTTTCTCATTTTGACTCACTAACATTAAAGGAAAGGATGAAAATCATACTAGATACTGTGCTTAGAGAAACTGAAAAGTTGGGTGAGATATAGAGAACTCACGCTAGACCACCATTATTGTTATCAAAGTAAGGTCTTTTATCCTTCCTCCTGTCTTTCCATCTATTGTTTCGTGTATAGAATTCTTTGGAGAAGGAAGATTTCAACAGATGAGCTTAAAGGTTTCTTGATGATTTCTTCCTTGTTGCTTTGTCTTGTACTAGGTGATTCTGAGAAGAGTGAGGTAGACATTATAATTATTTGATATTAAATCGTCAGTTATTAAGTTCTCACCAAGCACAAGCATATTTGACTAGACTAGATTAGCATTAAGTTTAACCTTAGAGATGCTATTTGAAATTAGTTCAAGATATATTTTCTCAGTTTCCTACTTGTGCTTGGTGCTATGCTAACCAACGGAAAAGTGGGTACACAGATTATAAGTGTTTTGAATTTGTTCTGCTTTGTTCATATCTTTCTTTATTCAATATGTTGAAAGTTACTAAGTAGTATGAACTATACCTTAAATATTTTCCTGGAAGATCCCATCTGTTATGCAAAACAATTAAATTGTATTCTAGAGGTATTATAAGCAGGGAAATACAATGTTCAAAGCGGTATTAGAAATTTTAGCCAAAAATGTGATAGAAATTCTTAAAGAGAGAATGTAGAAATGAAGAGAAATTGGGGAAAATTAAAGTAATCTAGGAGAGAGCTACAGAGAGGGTCTGAGCTTAAACTATAACACCGAGGAAACTGTGAAATAATGAATCTTAACTTGTTTGCAATTCTAATGACTTCAGGAGTCTAAAAAAACACTCATGCCCTTACTCTCTGAGATTCTATCTCCCTCTCTCTCTCTTTTTTTAATTGTCAGAGGGTGCATGTGCCTGCCAGAGAGAGAAAGGGAGAGAGAGAAAATGCATCCCC